TGCTAGCGCAGGGCACCCGGGTTGGACTTCCTACTTCAGATGCGGTATCTTCGTCAAACCGAAGTCACTCACACGCGGTGAACAACACTCTCAACTCACAAAACGCGCAGAGAATACAGGTCCAAACTGAGAAACTCAACTGAAAAAAGATCCAGTGGCACACCATAACAGTCTATTGACGAGTTTGAATTCTAAGGCACTAGTCATTCCCATAAATACTGCAGAGGTTTGCCCTGAGGGTGCCTTCTGCAGCATAACCTCAATAACAACCAAGGCTTACTCGAAGTAACAAAACTTCACTTTGGCATTCAGGGGAAACATCCCGAAGGAGTACAATCAGGAACAATCACCCGAAGGTGTAGGGACGAATTGTTCAAGTATCTAACCAGTTACTAGCTCTTAGCATTCAGCAATCACCCGCAGGTGTAGATCCAAACTGCTCAAGTGTCTAACCAGTACACTGGCTCTGAACATTCGGCCGAAGGCCTTCAGCTACAAAATGCGGTATCTTTGTCAAGCTGTAGCTCCTCTTGCGCGGTGACAGAACTAAGTACACATACACGCAGAGAAAATGAGTTCTTGATCTGCACTTCCGAAACTGGAAGAATCCCAAGGCAAGACGCCTTGAACTACTTTATACCTTCTAAGTCCTAACTAACACTCTACACCTGCACTACACTACGCTACGCTGCAACACACTGCAGGTCATCTACTATGCTTCCTGCGCGACGGATTGCCGCGCACTAACTCCCTACCCGACCAGTCTTCGGCTTGACTGTGCAACCCCAGCCGCCGCAGTCACCTCTGCCTTGAGGTTCGCCATGGCGTCCCGCGACCTTGACAGAAACGAATCTAACTTCTTCGCCACTCGCCGCCGGCTCCGACTGTCACCCGACATGAATCCCGCCGCTCGAAGCTCTAACTCGCGCAAGGTGATCTTCTCCTGCGCAGCCACTTCCCAGAGGGTGTAACCTCTGAGACAGTGGTTTACACGCTCCACCAATTCTTCTTTCGTGCGATATGCCTCCCGTCTGCGATCGTCTTCAACCACCACCAACTGCAAATCTGCCTCCGCACGCTGCGCTCTCAATTCGCCGCACTCTGATTGCAGTTGGCGGATTAAGTCCTCATCCGCCTGGCGTGCGAGCTGACACTGTTCTAGCAACCGTGTCTGCCGCACGAGCTCCTCTGACAAAATGCGATTCTGAGTTTGCTCAGAATCCAGCTCATCCGCGAGCTTCGCCTGCTCCTTGGCGAACTCCTTCTTCGCCTCCTCGAACTTGTCGTCGTGCGTCTTGTTGACTGCCTTCTGCAACTTCCGCAAAAGAGTAATGTGGCCACGCAAGGCTTCGTTCTTCAATCACAAATCCTTGATGTCCTCATCCAAGGAAGCCAACAATTTGCTGATTCTGACTTTGGTGCGAGTTTGCCTGCGCTCCAATTCGACGTAGGACCAAGGATGGCGGGGGTCTGCATACTTCGTCACCTTGCGATCGAGATACCTCAACAGAGGTACCACCTGCTCGCACAGTGCCGTCGTCGGCGTGCCTTTCACCGATTGCTCCTCCTCCTCGTCTGACGCCGATTCGTCTCCGTCATCCTCCGAATTGAGGATTTCGGTCGCCACGGAATTTCCCGGTGATTCCCGCGAGTTGGGCTGCGTAGCTTCTGCTTCGGCTGCTGCTGCCGCCGCACTGCTCCCTGCCAAAATGTCTTAGGCGGTGGGGGATCCTGTCTTCAACAAGCTCGCACCGTCCGCCCGATCTGTCGCTACTAAAGCCGCAGCATCGAAGGCGCTTGAGCCGAAGGCACACGTGTCTCCCCCTTCTCTCCGTCGTCTTGCCTCTCACATTGGGCTTCCGCCAAAGGCGCTTTTGCCGGCGGCGCTTCCGCCGAAGGCGGCTCGCCCGAAGTCCCTTGGACCGAAGGCCCTTGAGCCGAAGGCGCATCTTTCCGCGGTGCTTCCGCCGAAGGCTTCCTACTCACAAGCTCTTGGGCCGAAGGCCCTTGAGCCGAAGGCGCCTTATTTGCCGGCTCCTTCCCACTTCTCCGCTACGCCGAAGGCTCCTGCCCCAAAGGCGAATCAGCGCACGGTACTTGCGCGGAGCACCTGTCCGCCGCCGGCACGTTCGTTGGTGCCGCGTGTTGTCTCTCTTGGCCCGAAGGCTGTCTTGCTTCCGCCGAAGGCGTCCGTGCCTTCGGCGCAGGGAGGTCCGCTGACCTCTCTGCAGTCCGCGCGCTCCTATCCTCCTCCGAGGATGGTGAGTCCTTCCTCTCTACGGCACGCCCCGTCTCCGCGCTACTTGCAGGCAACACGAGCCTACGTGTCTTCTGCTTAGGCCGACTGCAGAGCACGTGCAGTGGCCGCTTTCGTTTGAGAGGAGCCGAATCGCGATGTTGGCCCTTCTCTACTCCTCCTTCCCATCTTCGCTTCCGCGGCACTCGTGCTGCGAACGATTCTCCTTCAGCTCTCGGTTGGGCTGGTGGCGTGGAGGCAGGAGTCTCTTCTTCGTCGGTGTCAACCTCGACGTCCTTCACGTACCGCCCCGGATTGTTGCGTGACAGCAATGGAAATTGCACTCGCTCGGTCGCGGTTAGACAATCCATCGACCGATAGAATTGATCAAGAAGGGGGAGAGGTGATTGATCGATCCGCCCTTCTCCTCAAACGGATGCTGCCTCGTTATCTTCCACAGGATGCGAGCTCAATGAATTGGAGCTCCGACCAACGCCAGCTCCACGAATGCCACCTGCCAAGAAGTGATGTAGGTGGTCATGTGCGGCTGCAAGAGCTGGAGAAGTGCTACCGTGACATTTCTGGGGTAGCGATCCTTGTAGTCCCGGGTCTTGTACCCGTTCTTGCTGGACTTGCTGCTCTTGAAAAGGGCCGCGAAGGAAATCTCCTCCTCCTTCGTGACCTTGATGCTTTCGCTATCGAATAGGAGATGCCCGTCCTCTCCCGCGCATCTTCCCAACACTTGTTCACCGTCAGCGATGACCCATTGTTCTACGTGCGGTCGAAATCCGCGTGTAGGTTGGTCTCTCTCCTTCTGCCACTCGCGCACCATGTCCTGGCACACGTAGTTCCACCCCCACAGGAGGAAATCGAGCTTCACCGCAGTCAGCTCGTGCTGGAAAGCGCGGAACCCAATCTGCGGTAGCTTCAGCGGAATCATCCGCAGCTGCGTCGCTTTCGACATTGCGTTCTTGAAATTTCACCACGCACTTAAGAAGTCCGCAAACTTTCCTCTGCTATCCCCAAGCTTCTTGCACGCGGATGCAATCTCTCTGCGAGCTCCCACTCTCACTCCCTAGCAAGTCCCACGGTCGCGCACTCCGCTCTCGCTTTGATTTTCAATTCTCCGCGCATCGCCTTCTTCTCTGATTTCTCTCTGCTAATTTGCGTGCACGCTCAGCTCTCGCGAGAAATCGAAATTGCAATTCCAAGAATGAGTCGCCCGCCTTCGGTTCACAAGATTTACATTCGACACTTGACGTGAGGATCGACCCACTTGATTGCTGCGCCGGCTTGAAGGCGTAACGGCCCCCCTCTCGCACGCTCGGCTTCACGCTCCGCCGTTGTGCGGGCTCACACGTTCAAAAATTGAATTCGATTTCACCCGTCGTCCGTCGACGTAGCCCTGTTTGCGTTGTGCCGAAGGCGTATCGCCAATGGCGCGGCGACGGAGGACTTTGCCTCTGGCCGACTCTCAACTCTGTCCTTTCCCGCACCGCCGAAGGCATGCATCTTTCGCCGAAGGCGTTAACCCGCAGTGCCGAAGGCGAATCCTTGAAGAAGTCCGTCGACGTAGGTGCATCGCCGAAGGCGCTTGAGCCAAAGGCGTTGACCGCTGGCAATTGATCTTGTCTTTTCTGTTGATCTCTCTTGTACCCCCGAAGGCGCTTTTGCCGTAGGAGTTCCGTTGCACCGAAGGCGCATGTGTCCGTACCGCCGAAGGCGTTCGGTCGAAGGCGGACCGTACAGAGTCGCTTGCCCCAAAGGCGTTGACCTAATCGTGATGCGCTATCGCCAAAGGCGCTCGTACGAAGAAATTCACCGCCGAAGTCATTGACCCTTGGGCTGAAGGCGGCTTGTTTGTCGACCTAGTCCTTCAGCCGAAGGCGTCCGTCTCAGTAACTTCTGACACTCGTAACTCCTTGATCCCTAATCCGTTCTAAGCGTTCTTGAGCTCTTTTCAACGAAACCTCAATCAAGTCAAGGCGTTATGAATTGAATAAGTTCTGAGGGATTTCCCTAGCGCCAAAGGCGTCTAGCGCCGAAGGCGTATTCTCCGCCTTGCGCCGAAGGAGATTCCCCTCAGAATCGGTCGTTCGGGCCGGGGCGCCTGTCCTGGACATTGCGCCCAACTTGATGATTGTACAAGATTCTACGAGACCCGCAATCATCAATTTTATACTCTATTTAAATGTACCGATTACTATTTACAGTCGCTGCTGCGGTACTGTTTTCCAAAAATGTTTTAAATTCCGCACAAAAACAAAAAGTGAGTTACCACAATCAAAATCTGTAAAAGTACCATGAATGTTACTTTCTCAGGGTTACGAAGTGAATATGAATTATGCATTTGGAAACAATGCAACATGTCCATTAGAAGCTTTCTTAGAGTGAGACAATAGCAAGTAGTGACCTTTATTTCTATATTCCCATTTCAAGACAACAAATGTGTACATTTAGAAGAAGCAGGCCACACTCACAACAGGTAGGTTCCCCATGTGTGATCAATGTCAATTTTATGAAGAACAAATACAACAAGAACAAGGTCATAGCAACAACATTATATAGAGTTGTCAGAACTTGAATATCTTCAGTTGCTATCCCCGCTTGCAACAAGTTCGACGTGTTGATGAGGTCACTGCAATCATCTGGTTAGACAAAGTTGTTAGGACTTCCGTGCCTTCTGCTCCTAACCCCAACTGCAAGAAATGCATTCATTTGAAGAAAAACAAGATCACTTCCAAAGTTTGTAATGTAGTGTACAAAATTTTTTATTTGCTTAATGTTTTTGTGTTTGTCATTCACGCCTCAATACTAGCCTGTTTGCCTCACTATCTGCTGGAAATAAACATTCTCAGAAGTTTTTGGTATACCTAAGTATACATTTGCAAATTTCTGATACATCTCCACGAGTACTGATGTATTTAGGACTTTTACACCTTCAGGTGCTGCTTGAACTAGCTTATCATGTCTTCATGGGCAGATTTCACTTGCTCAGAACTATTTACATGGTTCCTAATTGCCCAGCCATGTACCATCCCAGGAAAGATCTTGAAGGAGCTTGCCACCTGAGCCATGTAGACACAATTAAGGCTCACTTTTAGTGCCTCTCCGCAAGGATACAATTGCAAATAAAGACTCAAAGTGTGCAGGATATTCAACTGGAAGACTAATTGAGCTAAATAGAGAAGGATGGTTGGTTACATAATATAGATTTGGCTTCATTGTCTGCACCAAGGCTTTGAGCCCTTCTGTAACATGGAATCAAGGAGTGATATAGACAAAATGGATGCCATAATATCATAATACTCACGGTCAAGTGTACGACTAGGCAACATAATAAATAATTTGTGAATGTAAAGCAATGCACTTCCTAGTATGATGGTAGTTCTCCAACTTCGTCACTGTGATTTTACCTTTTAAAATTTGAGTTCAATGACAAAAACATGCATGTGTAAATCAGTTGTGCAGACGTTAGTAAAACGTAATGGTAGTTATTTAGGACAAAGAGAACGAAAGAGGGAAATTTAACTCAAGTTCCTGAAAATCTTTACCAATACACATGTAGCCAAGTTATCACATACCTCTAGTCCGGAAGAAAGAATAATCTTGGATTCCTCAGCTTTTTTGGCAATAACTTTCTGATCGGTTTCAGGGATACTAAATTGGACGGGCACTTTGAATGCTCCACACCACGGTAGAAACCATTATTCAAACTTCCAAACTTCTTCAACTTTTCTTTGGTAGATATTAGTACAGTGGAATTACTGGAAAAGCTAAAACATATATCCTACAACATAAATTTAAAAAAAAACGAAGTCAGCCAACAGCAAATCTTTGGATAATTCATCTCAAGACTTCCAAACATGGATAATGCCATAACTTGATGAAGGATCTCTAACTATATGGCAAGTCCAACTAATGCAAGATTAGCCAGATGCATATGAAATTAAATCTAGGACGTCTCATGCATGAACCGAAGCTAAATAACTATGAAAGATGAATAAATGCATTACTACAATAAGCTTCAGAGCAGCAGAAGTATAGTATAAGTCAAGGAGACCGGTTGTGTTTGCGACAGTGATGGAAGAACTAAGTGTAAAGTAGGGAAGAATCGGTTCTCAAGTGCACATGAGCAATGAACAAATGCGTAAGTATGATAAGCTCAGGAGTAGCAAAGGGATAGTATAAATCGAGAAAATCAGTTGTCTTTTCAACAGTGGTGGGAGAACTAACTGTGCAGTCGGGAGAAATCGATCCTCCAGTGCATATCAACAATGAACAAATGCATCAGTACCATAAGCTTCGGAGGAGCAGAAGTATAGTATAAATTGAAAAAATCAGCTGTTGTTTCAACAATGGTGGGAGAACTAAGTGTGCAGTACGGGAAAATTGGTCCTCCACTACACATCAACAATGAACAAATGCATTAGTAGGATAAGCTTACTCGTAGCAGAGGGATAGTATAAATTGAGAAAATCAACAGTTGTTTCAACAATGGTGGGAGAACTAAGTGTGCAGTAGGGAGTAACTTGTCCTTCAGTGCACATCAACAATGAACGGAGAGCATTTCAGTTTCGTCACGAAAACTTGGCTACTCCATTAGAGTCTATTAACGCGCAAATGTTTTTGCACTGTACACTGCTATGGCTGAGGAGAACTTGAAGATGGATAGTACGAGAAACATTCTGCTAGAGTACTGAAAGATTTACCGTCCCATTAGAAACACTACTGCACAAATAAACTGAAGGAAAATTATCCATGAATGAAAACCGAAAGAGCAGTATTTTGCTATAAAAAGCATTCAGATATCAGGAAGCAATGTGTTCACAATATATGTAATACAAATTGGCATGTATTCATAAACTTTCATGTGCCAAGATGGAGAAATTTGTATATAGAATTTAAAATTTCAAACTTCTAGACATAGAGATCATGCGAAATAAACTTTTGAACTTTCCAACTGAAAAACTAGCTTTCTCGCTTGTCAAGTACCTACCAAGTAGTCTTTGGCAAGAATCTATTGCACAACGAGGAAAACAGTAACCAAAAAATGAAACTTAGCTTTTGATTATGAATCTATTCACTATACCGGATCATCATTTAGATTGATTGTATTTGTGTCAACTGAAAGCTCTCAACCTAAACGTTTTGGCAGCAAAAATCTACTTGCAAGCAAAATATCCTATTCATATCAGTTTGTGGTTTCCTACTTTTGCAATTTCCACGCAGTTGAGTGCTACGCCTGAACAACTCTTCTCTAATTGTTTGTCTTTTTCTTCCTTGAATTTTTGGGATAACATCAGGAAGAAGTTTGTTATCACTAATGACATCAATGCACTCTGATATAACATTGTGCAGAACTGGATTATCATTTGTAATATCTAGATAGCTACTGCTATCACCGTTAACATCAAGTTTTGAGTCAAGTTCAAATCCTGTAAGTTGTCACAAGTGATTACATATCAATCGCAATAAAAATAAAAATGAAAAAAAGAAATAACTAATACATACATCTCATTATACTATAAGAAATTCAATTCAATTCATATTAAAGTCACTACCAAGGAATTTCTTCTTTGGATTGGACATCGTTTTTTCTTCAGATAGTTTTTCAGAATTGAATTGAATTCATATTGAATTCACTACCAAAGAATTTCTTGTATGGATTGAACATCATATTTTCTTCAGATAGTTCTTCAGAATTGAATAGCTTCTCTTTGCACAATGATATTTGTCAACGATCCCCAGCCTTCTTCTCAATGTCAAGCCACTTGGTCCGATGAACATGTCGGCAGTTGTGATTCTGTCCTTTCCTGATTCTTGTTGACATTGTTCCTGAACTCTCAAGTCATGCAAAGATCTATTTATAACAGCTAGTGTGCTGTGTGCTATGCTATCACTCTGTGAAGCCATTTTTTCTATTTGCATCCAAGCTTCTCTTGAAAAATGTACAGTACAAATGTGACATCTTGCTAAAGCCCCACACGTAATGCAAGTAGATCCAGGTGTTACTTGTGTATTCTCGCAAAAAAAGATCATTGAAAATTTTCTTCACCAGATAGTAACCAAATACGTAGGTTCAACTCTAGGCAATCCTATCTTGATATTCGTTCCGTGTGTGTACTTTTCAACACTAATACTTTTCAGACTTGTTTTCACCAATACTTCTGCATAAATAGCTTGCAAGTTTACTTGTTGTCATATTCATCGATATAATTCATTAGACCTACCTCAAATGGTTTCGACAGAAAAAAAAACTTCTTTTGTTTTTCTTTTCTATGTTTTCCCTGTCAATGTAGAAATTTTAAGTTAGAGTACATATACTAGACCATGTTCAAGCAAAAAAAAATAGAAAGAAAAAAGTTAGATGTGGAGGAGAAAATTTGACACATACCTCACATAAAGCATACACCCACTAGAATCTGAACTGAAATAGAAAAAGTCAAAGTGATCCACGTGCAGTCTATGTACCACAAAATGACGCTGATCTACTGGAGTTCAATCCAATTGAAATATTGACAATCAACACCAGAACAATAAAAAAATATCTTTCATTACACAATGTCATATAAATAAAATCAACAACTCAAAATACAACCGAAACAAAACTTACGTCATACTTGGTTGTCACAAACATGTTGTCTATCGCAAGAGTCTTATCTTGAGAGTAGTGAATCATCATACCCAACTGCCATTTGGATTGAAGAACCAACATGAAATCTTGGGACAAATTTGCAGATTTATACGGTTGATGTAAAAGCACAAAATGCGGATGCGCATTAATTCAAATCTGCACAGACAGTTGGTCATTTTCATGAAACATATAAGTTTCCCTTGCCACCTTTGCTTTTATGTTCAACAAATCTTTCAAATGAATCGTGTCATCTTTAGCTCCTCTTATGGACCAAAGAAGAGGTGCAGGATCATAAAAATTACAGTGTGAACCTCCTACTTGAATCTGCTGTTTTAAATGCATGTCAAAAACTTGTGGAATTGTCCAACCCCATCTGAACAGTTGGTCTATGTTTTGTCTGAGCTCGTTTATAATTTGTGAAGCTTATGCAGACTTTGGATTCCAAAGAACACGCTCATTTTCTGCAATTATGCCATAACACCTTTTTCCTTTATCATTATAATGAGTCTTGCAACACAAATGAAAACATCAAGTTAATATTAATTCATATTTATCAAATAACTTCATCATCATGATAACGTATACATCAACAAGTTCAGACTGTAAAAACATTGAAATAAAATACTCTTACCTTTGTATGTAAAATATCATTGCAGTCTCAGGTTTTGATTTGTAATATGTAACAACAAAGTTACAAACACATACTCTCTTGAATTGATTATTGAAGTTAATCTTTCTTGCTCGTGGTCTACTATTGTCACCTATACCGAGAGGTGGATAGGTGCTTTTACTTGGTTTCGTGTCTGAAATCTAAGAAGGATGGTTGAATGATCCAAAAGCATACCAATAAGTTACTGTTTTTATCCAAGCAGTTTTTGCTTTTATCGCAGCAGTTTTCCTGGTCTGTCATTAGTTTGTCTTTTCTAAAAGCTTGTTTCAAATTCTATTTTTCATCTGCCTTCACCATTCACAAAATCGTCTACCCTTTCACTTGGAATACAAGCTAATCCCACAAGAAAATGATGCATTTCCCAAGCCCATTGCATATCATCTGCATGGAATGTTCTTGTAGGAGATGATTGAACAGGAATTCTACTGTCCATTGTGACACAAGTGTTCCTTTTTTGTTGAAAAAAAAACCAGGATCTACTTCTGATTGGGTAAACGTAGCCAAGAAAAACGTCTCTGCAGACGATATACACCTCTCCTTCCCTTCAGCTGCTAGCTGCCTAGAGGTATATCCATGTCTAAAACCTAACATGAACTATCTTCTACACAAAAAAAATCTCAATTAGCATATTCATCAGCCTAAACCCTTATCATATCTTTGATCTAACACCATCGCGAGCACCCTGCTATCTAAATAGTGTCATAAGTCCACCATGATAGCAACCCTAAGGCAGGCACGTAGGCAGTCAAGCATCAAAGAAATGATGAAACAAAGAGTAAAATCAAGGCTCATTGATTATTTTCCACTTCAGAGCTTCACTTGCCAATTATGGTGATTTTCACAGAGCTTCTCTTTTGTGCCGGAGAGATGCAGTCATTAATCTCATCGCTACAGTGTCTCTTTTCTACAGCAGCAAGCGAATCGTAAAAAAGGAGAGAAACTGTAAGAACAACTGCAAAGCCCTGTTATAATTATGAAATGGTACTTGAAGTCTCTTGAAGACAATCTCTTCAGAGATATACATACATTGTACAAATTTCACACGTAATGTCTAATAGGAGAATTGAAAACCTGAGGGCATTGATTGGAGCACAAGGATCAGCTTCATGTGGCATCAATTCCTCTCCCTTTCCCTCCTTTATGATTATCTCAGCCAGATGAAGAAAACTAGGTGTTTCACGCAGCATAGCTCTATATTCTCTGTCACTAACAGGTGCCTGCAGACAATTCCCAAGTCCAAGGATTTTCACATTCAGAAGCAACTAGTAAGAACCTCAACAGCAAGGAATCAAAGAGCAAGAAACAGTTCACAAAGCCTGATATGTGACGATTGAGCAATTATTTTTGTTTCTCATTATTCCTGTAATATAGCTCCTCCTACAGCCTTTGAGCAACTACTTCCTCTTCTTGGATAGTGAACAATATTTTGTAGCAGACACAATTAAAGTACACAGACACAATTAAAGTACACAATTAAAGTACAAATTCCGTGAAGCAAGACATAAACCTAATACACATTTGAATTGGCTATAATGCCTTGTGCGTTGAGTAGATGGGAGCCACACCCGTTAAGACACATGATACATTGGTGGTTGAGAGGGAAAACCTGGCATCCAATGCATGGCGTGCAGTCATTAACTTCATCGCTCCAGTGTCACTTTTCTACAGCAGCAAGCGAATCTTGAGTTAGTAGTGGCAATAAATCGTTGAGATTGACTCTCGCTCACCTCAGCTTCACTTCTGCCGTCATCGCATCCAGCCACTGACCGTTCAGATCTACCTTGACATAAAAATACTAAAAACCAATTGCACTCTGGCCCTAAAGAAAAGTTCATATACTATATTGCTTTCATGAGCTGCAAGCTTCGGATGATCACACTATTTTTCGCAATGGGCTGTCACTTTGATCGGACCACATAAGGAAACAACTGAAATTCCACCGAACCAAAAAGTTGAGGAATGCGTGGCTTATTTTATCAATGATATAATAATATTAAAAAAAGGTTATGCTCAGTGGGGACAACCTGAAAGAGTAAGTGTCAATTCTTGTACTATCTCTTCTAAAGGAAAGTCAGATAGAATCCACTAAAGAGCCAATATAGTTCTTACATCCTATTCATTCAATTGTATGAAAAAAGGATGCCTTATAGGCAAAGAGGAGCGATAACGGAAAAATAAAGTAGAAGATAGCTACATCTTCTATCTAAAATTGAATAAATCCTATCTCTGAATCTCTGAACACAATGTCTTAGTTCGTTCAGTCTTACTTCTGCATCTCCCTACCTAGTATCTAAGGTTCTCTCCATCCATGACTATGTTTACATGTGAGATGCTAAATCCGTCCAGTAAGTGTAAGATAGCTACATCGACTGTCTAAAATTGATTAAATCCTATCTCAGAATCTCTGAACACAATGTCTTAGTTGGTTCAGTCTTACTTCTGCATCTCCCTACCTAGTATCTAAGGTTCTCTCCATTCATGACTATGTTTACATGTGAATGCTAAATCCGTCCATTAAACTAGTACTTTATACCTTTTCTTCAAAAACTTGGACTAGATGACAGATTGCCATTCCTCAACTTAAAAGTCGGTGTTTTTTTTCGGTGTATTTGAAAATGTGAACATGTGTTTCAACAAAGTTTTTTAACGATTTGGCTGTATTAACAGCATCATAGTTGCCAACCTACGTAGTGGTGGTATAAAACTTAGTAGTCTCCTAATTGACTAATCTTGAAGAGAACGGAAATTCGAGAAGAATGCATAGTAAGGAGGAAAGAATTTTCTATATGTACCCCATAGTACAAATAGCTCATTGTACAGTCAAATAGCTAGCTGATGAAATGTGCAGACGATAGACATCTCTCCTTCCCTTCAGCTCCTAGCTGCGTCGAGGTGTATTTAAAGAAAATAAGTTGAAGTACTTTGAACTTCATCGATAGTTTGAAACTGAAATAGAAATTGATAGTTTGACACTCAATCAAGCCATTCATGTGAGATGCATTCTCACCTGAAGAATTGCGACTTGGAGGTGTTAGGAGATCCACACTACAAACTGAGAAATGCGCGAACGAGTTAGGGGTCAGATTTTTAACGTCGGCCCTCTTTAAACTTTCCACAAGCAATAAAACCTGGAAACTGAGGTATCACCAACCTGCCATCCCTGAAACCCCGATCATATGTTGGCTCAATTTACCATCATTTGTGTCTTGTGTGAAACTTGCACGGGGTCGATGATCATTACTTGCTTCGACTTCTTCTTTCCGATGACGTGCAATCTCGGGCTTACTTTAACTCAAACGCACCTAAGATCATCCCCATGATCATCGAGCTTCTCTTGTTTTGATAAAATCATGAATTCTCCAATTCCTCATGCCACGCAAGGTTAGATTGTAGAGGATCCATCTGCAATGGGTTCGGAACGTGTGGGTGGAATTGACTGTCCACAAGACAAACCCGCACTCGAGGGGGTGTCTTCTTCTTTTGATAGAGGCTTGTTGACTGCAGAGTCCGAGTAATAGAGTGAGAGCGCGAAATGCTCATCCCTGGGTTACAGTGACAGTGAACCGCAAACGGTGTACCCTTGCAGTTAGCCCGGATGGGATAAGGTTAGGGTTGATCTAGCCAAAATTGGTCATAAGTGCGCGGATATTGATGAATGGTTAAAGACAATAGTTGAAGACGGAGGGAGGTCCGAAGGATCTAAGACGGGTAGAGCTGAAATGCGAATCCAGGGCTTATAGTTTAATTGGTTCAAACGCACCGCTCATAAAGGTGATATTGTCGGATCGAGTCCTACTAAGCGTAAATTCCAAAGTAATTAACTTTAACCTGAAAAACGTTACAAGAATGCAAATAAGGTTTCGCTCTGGATTTAGACCGGAACCTGGTAACAGCAGAGGAACCAAAGCATGCAATAAAAGGATCAATGAGGGCCAGAGGTCGGAACTATGATCTGAAAATCCACCAGGGTAAGTATGACGGCAGGAAATGAAGTCTATTGATGATATCTGATTAAAATCGAATAAAACTCTATTTTTATGGCCTCAATTATCATGGGGTTTTTTAATAAAACACTGAAAAACCCGATTGTAAAATACCGCTCCGTGCTACCCTTAATTTAATGCAAGATTAGTTCTTGAACCAGTGGCTTTTAACCACGTGGTCATGCGAACAATCCTACTTGGTAGACTCAAGTCGCCCACCAAGCAGGGTTATCTCGTGAATGTGTAGTATTGTTCAAGCTCAAACCTAAGCTGTGGTGTGGCCAGCTCCATTTTCCTCAAGCGGATTGTGGTGCACACGCTTAGAAGAACAACACCACACCTGCCTTGCATCTCACAGCACTGCCATTGGACGAGGCCCTGAAATGCTGCACTTTGGCTGCGTCGCATGATCAGCTCAATAATAATGTCGTTGGAGCTCCGTCACCTTATGGCTCTTGTGACGGTGACAAGTGTCATATACGTGTCCAGCTCTCATTCCTTGCCATTCTCGACTTCAGTTCTGCAGTTCAGTGACTCCTGTGTAAGTACCGCTGCCCATTCTCGAGTCACAATCAACTCAAAGCAATCTCTCCTATTTCATCCACGTACATTTGTCCACTCCGATAGCAGAATTCCAACTTCAAGACATTTTGTTCAGTGCATTGATTCAGTTTAGTTCTACATCTCAGTTCTTGAGCAGTCTTCGAGTGTCCATTTCTGAAACCATGGCCAGCAACCAGTACAACAAGGGATACGACGCCACTGCCCAGAAGACCGAGGAAGCGAAGAGGACGATGGCTGACACGGCCGACCGCACCAAGCAATCTGCAGCCGAGACCGCAGACAAGACCAAGCAAGTCGGAGCTGAGAAATCCGAGCAAGCCCAGAACACTGCCTCGAACATCGTCGGTACGGTGCAAGAGAAGGCTCAAAACGTTTGGGACCAGACGAAGCAAGCTGCTGCAAACACCAACCAGTATGTCCAGGAGAAGGCTGGTCAAGCTACTCAATATGGAGCAGACACTTTGGAGTCGGCCAAGCAGACCACTGCCGATTCTGCGTCTACTGCACAGAAGAAAGCCGTAGAGGCGAAAGACTTCACCGTGGACAAGGCGGGACAGGGTAAGGACGTCGCATCTGACAGAGCAGGAAAGGCAGGACAGTACTCCGCCGACTCTGCAGCATCGGCTAAGGATACCACCGGAAGCTACTTACAAGGAGGTGTCGATGCCGTAAAAGGAGCCGTCCTCGGGGCCAAGGATGCACTTTTCGGCCAGAGTGGTGCCAGCAAGTAAGCAGGGGATGAAGAAGAGTACAGTTAAAATGTCGATAGCTAGTCCAGAATGTACATACGTAGGAGGATTGTGTCAATTCAATCCCAGTGAATGTAGTGCACATGATTTTTTGAGGGAAATTCTTGTTGCGAACTGTGGATATTTTCCCCGAATCTGAAACAAAGATACTATCTTTTTACATATGATATGCGCACCAGCAATTTGTATTCACACTCCGTGTTCTCTTGATCTTTCTCAGGGATACAGATTTCTGTCATCGATACCTTGTCTGTCCATACACATTCAGTTTCTTGAAGTTCCTCAGACCTACAATGTACCCTACTTGCCGGAATCTTACGTTAAGCTTCTATGAAGATTTGAGCTAATCTCTACAAGAACCGAAATGTTCCAATACATTGTACGAGTTATTCCATAAGCTAAATTTCACCTAAACAACAAATCCAATATACATATGCGTAAACAATTCCAAAACAATAGAAAATAACCTTCAAATTACAAAACCTGTTCCAAGATTGTAACCTGTTGCAAGCAAATACTTATTACATTAAACATTCCGCGTTCGAGCGCACCTTCTTACTGCACAATCATACACATTGTGCACCTTTCAAAAGAAGTAGCTTCTGAAATGTGACTTCTAAAAATTGTAATCTGTATCTTAGTGAACAGACTTGAACCAAATCCCAGTAAACAGACGTGGACGATGCAATGATCGTTCATAAGGCATCAAACTTGCCTCTGACTGTTTGAAATCCTGTAGTGTACCTACTTCACATAGTATCGGGATCCGCTGTGTATTGAATGTGAAAGAATTGCAGGTTTTTTCTTTTTTTTTCCCCATGCAGGACATATACACGAGTCAAATGAACAATGTTCCGAGTGTTGAGGGCCATATTATAACTCCCATATGTACATTACTGTATGGTCTTCAAGATGGTCTCTTATTTTATGAGAAACATGTTGATTTCCTGGTAGGACCTAGATAGATGTAGCCAAGATGGTAAAGGTCTTTGCTAGGTCAACTCTTGGCACATTAACTCCTTGAAAATTTTGAAGCTCTTGAATTGAATGAGAGATTACTTCTCGACCGAGTGGCTTTTAATCACGTGGTCATGCGTACAATCCTGCTTGGTAGAGTCAAGTCGCCCACCAAGCAGGGTTATCTCGTGGATATGCAGTTTTGCTCAAGCTCAAACCTAAGCTGTGGTGTGGCCAGCTCAATCTTGCTCAAGCAGATTGCGGTGCACACGCTTAGAAGAACAACACCAGACCTGCCTTGCATCTCACAGCACTGCCATTGGACGAGGCCCTGAAATGCTGCACTTTCGCTACGTCGCATGATCAGCTCAATAATAATGTCGTTGGAGCTCCGTCACCTTCTGGCTCTTGTGACGGTGACAAGTGTCATATACGTGTCCAGCTCTCATTCCTTGCCCATTCTCGACTTCAGTTCTGCAGTTCAGTGACTCCTGTATAAGTACCGCTGCCCATTCTCGAGCTACAATCAGTTCAACGCAATCTCTCCTATTTCATCCACGTGCATTTGTCCATTCCGATAGCAGAATTTCAGATTCAAGACGTTTTTCTCAGTGCATTGATTCAGTTCAGTTCAGTTCTACGTCTACATCTCAGTTCTTGAGCGGTCTTTGAGTGTCCATTTCTGAAACCATGGCCAGCAACCAGTACAACAAGGGATACGACGCCACCGCCCAGAAGACCGAGGAAGCGAAGAGGACGATGGCTGACACGGCCGACCGCACCAAGCAATCTGCAGCCGAGACCGCAGACAAGACCAAGCAAGTCGGAGCTGAGAAATCCGAGCAAGCCCAGAACACTGCCTCGAACATCGCCGGTACGGTGCAAGAGAAGGCTCAAAACGCTTGGGACCAGACGAAGGAAGCTGCTGCAAACACCAACCAGTACGTCCAGGAGAAGGCTGGTCAAGCTACTCAATATGGAGCAGACACTTTGGAGTCGGCCAAGCAGACCACTGCCGATTCTGCGTCTACTGCACAGAAGAAAGCCGTAGAGGCGAAAGACTTCACCGTGGACAAGGCGGGACAGGGTAAGGACGTCGCGTCTGACAGAGCCGGAAAGGCGGGACAGTACTCCGCCGACTCTGCAGCATCGGCCAAGGATACCACTAGAAGCTACTTACAAGGAGGTGTCGATGCCGTCAAAGGAGCCGTCCTCGGGGCCAAGGATGCACTTTTCGGCCAGAGTGGTGCCAGCAAGTAAGCAGGGGATGAAGAAGAGTACAGTTAAAATGTCGATAGCTAGTCCAGAATGTACATACGTAGGAGGATTGTGTCAATTCAATGCCAGTGAGTGTAGTGCACATGATTTTTTGAGGGAAATTCTTGTTGCGAACTGTGGATATTTTCCCCGAATCTGAAACAAAGATACTATCTTTTTACATATGATATGCGCACCAGCAATTTGTATTCACACTCCGTGTTCTTGATCTTTCTCAGGGATATAGATTTCTGTCATCGATTCCTTGTCTGTCCATACACATTCAGTTTCTTGAAGTTACTCAAACCTACAATGTTTCCTATTTACCGGAATCTTACGTACAACTTTTATGAAATTTTGGGCTAATCTCATGAAAAACTCAAATGGTGCAATACATTGTACTAGTGAACTGGAGAGGTAAATTTCACCTGAATAACAAATGCAACTTACATATGCGTAAACAATTCCGAAAATTGGGAATAATCTTCGAGCCGTAAACCTGTTGCAAGCATTTGATTATTACATTGAACATTCCGCATGGACAATCTCATTTATTGTGCATCTTTCAAAAGAAATAGTTTCTGAAATATGATTTCTAAAGATCGTAATCTGTAACATAGTGAGAATACACTTGAACCAAATCTTAGTAGACAGACGTGGAAGATGCACAAACCGTTCATAAGCAGGCCTTTTCAAATATGACATTGGGTAAAGTTTATGTTAGTCTTGTCATAAATTACATTTAAGTTATACCATAAATAAAAGTGACAGTTTGAGTTCGAGGTTACTCTTTTTTGTTGGATGAACAACAGCCACTCTTCGATGATGTAAAAGAACAATCACCTCTGAAAAATTACGTTGTTTTTTGTTTTCCACAGAGAAGCTCTTGTTTACCACTGTTAGTAAAGAGTTCATGACATTCATTCTTTGTTGTTGAAGAGGTTTTTTTGTTAAAGAACGGCTGTCGATAAAGTATAGTCAAAGAAGCACGAAACTCCATACAATCCCGTTCACGAACTTGAGTACGGATTGAAGATCTTGATGCGGTATACGTGTTCTGGTGTCGTCACATAAGTTTTGTGTCGCTTTTGCTAGGTTTGGAGCGGTGAAGAAAGAATTGGACGCAAGCCTAAGCCGGCTAGTACCAAAATTATATATATATATATATATATAGTATTTTAAAGTTCCATATTGATCAAAATTGTATTCACACCATCTAGAATAACAACATTTGACAAAGTGGACTGAATATCGTTCTCTGTCATTATACTAAAAGCAAAGTTTTTTTTGATAATATTGCTTTAGTGAATACTATGCTTGTTCATTTTGTTGTATTGGATGATAGATTGTATTTTAAACGTAAACATCGTTGATATAATTCTGTGTACACTTCCATCTAATCTGGAAGCTGAGTATGTTTGTATTGATCAGAGGTTGAGATTTTTTGAGCCAATCAAATCTGAAAGTGTGATTGTAGGTTATCAATTTTATATCAAGAATATCAAGCTTGTTATTTGGATGGTTAGTCTTGGTTCGTTGTTCGGGTTTACAGCGCGTCAAGTGAAGTGTGCACGCGAAAAACTGACTCTTGGTTATCTTGGCGGATGCAGTGAGGCAAAAGTATCATTGTTTGCTCGGATTGCTACTGCTGTTTGACTTCAGAAACTCAGTAAATTACTTACTGATTGTTGGGACTTTTATGTTGCATTTGATTCATCTATTGTTGAAAGCACCTCGTATTTTGAATTTTGAATTTTGACGTTAGAGTGAGATTTGTTGTAGTAACCAGATTGTGTTGTTTTCATTTATGTTCTCTTGCTTTTTACATATGACACACAAGTGACAATTTGTTCGAGAAAGCTATACATGCAATTTGTCCATCTTGGAGATATACACTTTTATCAACATGCTCTTATAGTGGCAGTAATATGACAGGTCAAGTACGAGAATTAGTGACTTGTGTTTCTACTCGAGTTAAACAAAAAGGTTGTTACTTGATACGATTTTGGTGTGGTGCACTCCAACTTGATCGTGTTGTTCAAACTATTATTTTATTTTATCCCAACAAAGAATTATATTCGCCGTTAACAATCATCATTAGATACTTGCGTCGACAGTAGAATTGAATCGGCGAAATGCGATCTAAATGTTTAAAGTTTGCTACAACTCGCTGGTTATCATTGGATAAAATATAAGCTTGGTTTTTAATTCATCACTGCCTTGTTGTTGAATACATAAACCAAAATATTTTTACGTTTGATGACTTATGGATCATAAGCATACCTTCCTAAATTCAGTGCGCGCCGATGCTGCCAAAAACAAACTAAATTAGGCGTTGAATAAAAACAATATTTAGTTTACTTTTGCCACAAACAAATTCCATACAAATGGATTTGTGAGGCACTTTTATTGCTCAAACAGATCAAAATACTGCTTAAAGTGAGATTTGTTTCCAAAGAGAAATCTGTCAAGGAGTTGTGATACTCATTCTTCTCCAATCCAATACGAGAAAAATCACTCTCAGCGGTTGCTGTGTTTGAGAATACAGTTGCAAGGCCACCACAAAACTCTTTCAACATTCAAAATTGATATCCAAGAACACTCCATGCATCTTCAAAAGAAATTGCGGTGTTTGTCATCGCATTCAAAGAGGTTTTGAGTTCAAGCTTCATACGAACGGCTCTTAGCAACTCTGCATAATCTTGGTCAATCATTTGAATTTCATCATTTAAAAAGCATCGATTGAAACACATATTATGTACATCGAGTTGTCGTACGAGTGCAATTATTTCAAAAGCAACAATCTAGAGTGTCAATACAGCTAAATACTCTTCATAAGCATCATTCCAAGAATATTTTTCTACCACAATAGTAGAGATGTCGTCGGCAATATTTACAAATACAACATCAATGCATGACATGAGGTTATTTCGAGTACTTTCTTCCATTTGATCCATAATCATTAAAATCCAACAATCAAAGCCGTCCATATAGGACCGTACATGCCCATGTGTCATCCTCAATAAGCCTCTTGTTGATGATACCAAGGTGTTCATGTTCTCCAGCTGGTCTTCATTGAGAGGCCTTTCATTTAAAACATCAAAGTGTATGTATTCACCAACTTTTTCAATTGCACGTGCTGCTGTGATATCAACATCTCCGTTCCTTGTAGCTCTTGAAATACAATGTTTGCTTTGTTCACAATTGCATATATTGTATACTTGAATACCCACCAAGAATCTAGAGGTTACCACTCCAAATCTTTCTCCACTAAGTATTGCTAAATTTCCACACGATGAAACACAAGCCATAAAAGCACTTTGACCATTGTAAGCCAACTTACACTGCAAAACTTTCGACATTTACTTTTCATTGAGTTGATCAAGTTTTGCTGCCATCTCAAAAAGCCAATCAATTTTATCAACAATCCCAAAAAATTCTCATCAAACGCAGCTTTAAATACCACATACATCACAAGATCGAGTTGATGCACACCACATCAAATTCGTACAATATCCGACAGCAACATCTGCTCAATCTTTGTAACAACTACTCAAATTCTACCGATTATGAACTTGTCACCATCTTTTGTCAATCCAACAATAGCCAATGTCTAGTTTGGGAACAAGACATCGAAGAAATTCACAATCAAGTCTGACATATTAGCACCAATATGTTGTTTGAACATAGTCAATGCAATCAAATGATACTTGATTGATAAACACACAAGTCGAGGATATGACCGGCTTTGCTGCGTTGACCAATCAAATGCAATTCATATTGACTAAGTTTTTTCCATGATTTCAAATAGCTTTTGCACACATGTAGCCGTACAAATTCCAATGTAGTTCAACACGGTGACATCAAAAAAGCATCTCCATAAGCCGCAATGTCAGATTCATGTTGAATCACTTGAAGCTGGCAACTTACACTGCGAAAAGAATCATTGAGAGCAACCAACTTGATAGCCAATTGAAATCGCTTCTCTGTTTTGATTTCAAAAAAATAAACTTCATGTTCTTTGACCTCATCTTCATCTACAATTTGGAAAATATTCAGAGCTCGTTTGTGAGTCATGCCTTTGGCATCATTTGGATGAAATTTTTTTTTCATTGATTGTTTCAACAATTGATTTGTTAATCCAAAAACGCAGCCCATCTCCTTCGAAGACAAAATGTGCAGACAAGGTGTTCACATAAGACACTCCAATAGATTGAAAGAAAGCGAGATGATCATCGATGAAGTTCAGCAATTGATATTCACTCTGCTTCCAAGCGGAGTGAATATGAGAGCAATAGTTGTTCACACGGAATGAACCAATCGACCGATACTTGGAATTCTGCAATCTCTTGCTCTTAGCTCTAACATTAGCATCTCAACCAAAAATAGTGCAAAACAAATACACTACAGATATCACTTATGAAAAAGCGACATCGCGTGAAATAATTCTTAGTACATACTCATTGCAATGTTTTTCCTTGAAGACAACAACGTGCTTTGAAAGTCCACAAGACATTGGATTGACAAACATCACATCAAGAAAATAGTATTTTGTTTCAAAGCTTTTTTATTTCTATTTTTTTTTTTTAAATTTTCGTCGCCCGTGATATGCTCGGAATTTAAGGAGGCCTGATCATAACGCATCAAACTTGCCTCTGTATGTTTGAAATCTTCTAGTTTACCTACTTCACATAGTATCGGGGTCCGCTGTGTTGAATGTGATAGAATTGAAGTTTTATTTTCTTTTTCGCATGCGGGACCTATACAGGAGTCAAATGAACTATGTTCCGAGTGTTGAGGGTCATATCATTCTCTCCCATATGTACATTACTGTATGGTGGTCAAGATGGTCTCCTATTTTATGAGAAACATGTTGATTTCTCGGTATGACCCAGATAGATGCAGCCAAGATGGTTAAGGTATTTGCTAGGTCAACTCTTGGCATATTGACTACTTCAAAACTTTGCAGGCTCTTCGAGGAAAATTCTCATCTTCAATGTGAGATTAGTTATAGAACCAGTGGCTTTTAACCACGTGGTCATGCATACAATTTTGCTTGGTAGACTCAAGTCACCCACCAAGCAGGGTAATCTCGTGGATGTGTAGTTCTGTTCAAGCTCAAACCTAAGCTGTGGTGTGGCCAGCTCAATCTTGCTCAAGCAGATTGCGGTGCACACGCTTAGAAGAACAACACCAGACCTGCCTTGCATCTCACAGCACTGCCATTGGACGAGGCCCTGAAATGCTGCACTTTCGCTACGTCGCATGATCAGCTCAATAGTAATGTCGTTGGAGCTCCGTCACCTTCTGGCTCTTGTGACGGTGACAAGTGTCATATACGTGTCCAGCTCTCATTCCTTGCCCATTCTCGACTTCAGTTCTGCAGTTCAGTGACTCCTGTATAAGTACCGCTGCCCATTCTCGAGCTACAATCAGTTCAACGCAATCTCTCCTATTTCATCCACGTGCATTTGTCCATTCCGATAGCAGAATTTCAGATTCAAGACGTTTTTCTCAGTGCATTGATTCAGTTCAGTTCAGTTCTACGTCTACATCTCAGTTCTTGAGCGGTCTTTGAGTGTCCATTTCTGAAACCATGGCCAGCAACCAGTACAACAAGGGATACGACGCCACCGCCCAGAAGACCGAGGAAGCGAAGAGGACGATGGCTGACACGGCCGACCGCACCAAGCAATCTGCAGCCGAGACCGCAGACAAGACCAAGCAAGTCGGAGCTGAGAAATCCGAGCAAGCCCAGAACACTGCCTCGAACATCGCCGGTACGGTGCAAGAGAAGGCTCAAAACGCTTGGGACCAGACGAAGGAAGCTGCTGCAAACACCAACCAGTACGTCCAGGAGAAGGCTGGTCAAGCTACTCAATATGGAGCAGACACTTTGGAGTCGGCCAAGCAGACCACTGCCGATTCTGCGTCTACTGCACAGAAGAAAGCCGTAGAGGCGAAAGACTTCACCGTGGACAAGGCGGGACAGGGTAAGGACGTCGCGTCTGACAGAGCCGGAAAGGCGGGACAGTACTCCGCCGACTCTGCAGCATCGGCCAAGGATACCACTAGAAGCTACTTACAAGGAGGTGTCGATGCCGTCAAAGGAGCCGTCCTCGGGGCCAAGGATGCACTTTTCGGCCAGAGTGGTGCCAGCAAGTAAGCAGGGGATGAAGAAGAGTACAGTTAAAATGTCGATAGCTAGTCCAGAATGTACATACGTAGGAGGATTGTGTCAATTCAATCCCAGTGAGTGTGCACATGATTTTTTGAGGGAAATTCTTGTTGCGAACTGTGGATATTTTCCCCGAATCTGAAACAAAGATACTATCTTTTTACATATGATATGCGCACCAGCAATTTGTATTCACACTCCGTGTTCTTGATCTTTCTCAGGGATATAGATTTCTGTCATCGATACCTTGTCTGTCCATACACATTCAGTTTCTTGAAGTTCCTCAGACCTACAATGTATCCTACATACCGAAATCTTACTAGAAGCTTCTACGTAATTTGGGCTAATCTCTACAAAAATTTAAATGTTCCAATACAATGTACAAGTGAATCCGAAATCTAGATTTCATCTAAACAACAAATCCAATATACATATGTAAAATCGATTCCAGATTTGAAACAATAGAAAACATTCTGCACAATAAACAAAACTGTTCCAATACTGCAATTTGTTACAAACGTTTGATAATTACATTAACATTCCGCGTTCGAGCGTTCCTTCCTACTGCACAATTATGAACATTGTGCACCTTTCAAAAGAAGTAGCCTCTGAAATGTGATCTCTAAACATTGTAATGTGTATATTAGTGAACAGATTTGAGCCAAATCTCAGTAGACAATCGTGGACGACGCAGAAATCGTTCATAAGGCATCAAACTTGCCTCTGTATGTTTGAAATCTTCTAGTGTACCCACTTCACATAGTATCGGGTCCGCTGTGTACTGTATGTGATAGAATTCGAAGTCAAACGTCGAAGTTAAACGCAACCGTTTCTAGTCGCTGCGATGGACAGAAGGAAAGCAGATTGAAGTCTACATTACCTATAGTGTACATTCCGGTGAAGTTAATCCGTTAACGTCGAGCCTTACGATTGACGAGGCTTCTATATATTCGATTACGATGCTTATCGGATCGAATGGAGTGTGTCTTCGACAGGGACGGAGAGCCGACTCGACGGAGTTGTCAGGAGTCGCACTTCATGGGGACAAGCCCTTCCCATCACAGCCGTCTACATTTAGCAAGTTTTGTTGCTTCCGACGGAAAACTGCGTCGTTGAAGAGTGGATAACAGCGCAGATGGTTAGTGTATCGACGTGACAAGTGTCACTCCACATGGGCCTCGACTGGAAGGAAAGTGCACGAGCGCTTCGAACAGCTCGAGTCCGATGGATCAGAGACCTAAGCCGTTTCCTGGCGACAAGTGTCCAGCGTAGTGAGATCTAGATACGCGTCCGTAGCCCTTGAGCCCACTCTTCGTCATTACATAGGACTCTGTTTCCGACGTGCTCTTCATCTCTGATTGCATTGCACTCTGAAGTCGATCCTGCACTCAGAGAAATCTCCACGACCTTTTCAATAGGTTCAGATTTCAGGAATGGCTTCCAGCCAGTCAACCCGCAAGGGATACGACACCGTCGCACAGAAGGCCGAAGAATTGAAGCGCAGCGCATCGAGCACTGCGGAACGCACGAAGCAGTTTGGCGCCGAGAAGGCAGAGCAGGCGAAGCAATTCGGGGCGGAGAAATCAGGACAAGCGCAAGAGACTGCGTCCTCTGCAGCCGGCACGGTTCAGCAGACGGCTCAAAATGCTTGGAATCAGACCAAGCAAGCGGCGGGCAATGCGAGCGGATACGTCCAGGACAAGGTGGGCCAAACCACTCAGTACGGAGCAGATTCCATGCAGTCCGTCAAGCAGACCACTGCCGACGCCGCCTCTGCTGTACAGAGCAAAGCCGTCGGAGCTAAAGACATCACGGTTGACAAGGTAGTGCAAGGCAAGGATTTTACCGTCGAGAAGGCTCGACAGGCAGGCCAATACATGTCCGACTCTGCCGTATCCGCCAAGGACACCACTGCGAGCTACTTGCAAAACGGAGTGGATGTTGTGAAAGGAGCCGTGCTGGGCGTCAAAGATGCCATTGTAGGTCCGAGCACTGCCAAGCCTCGTCTGTAGAATTGATTCGATGAATAGTTAGATATGTTCGTCTGATTTGATGTGTACATAGTGCCGTAGATTGTTGTAGACCATTTTGAAGCGCAAGCGCTCTCCTCTTTAATCTAGTGACTAGATTTGTGCCGCATGTTTGTACAAATTCGTTGGCGAACGCCTTTTCTTCGATACAAATCGCATCCTGGAACATGATTTCTCCAGAGAAATTGCACTCTCTTTTCTTGACTTATTTGGGTCTCTAGTTTCCATTAGAGTTGCAACTTTTACTTGACGTGGAAGTTTTCAATTTCCTCTGTCTTTCGAGTCGCGAAGTGAAGCGAGTCCCGATGCATACTCTGGCAAGTTGAGTTGCGCTCACAGTTTTACACCTATTACGCAAATAGAAGGTGACAATGTATCGTTTTGTGGAAGTCTACTGGAAACTACAAAAGCTGTCACCAGAGAACATGCTGGACGGCGAAATCTTACATATCATGCGTGGCTCGTGCGATCTACGAATCGAAAGCGTCAAATGAACTTGATTCGTCAAACAGAATCATAACTTCGGCTCAACTCTGCCCAAAAAATACAATTCCCAGCAAAATGTAAATTGAAAATTGATCGGTGATGTATTACCCTGCAGAAATGTGAGGAATCAATCGTAAAGATTGTAAAACTCCTATCTTTGCTGTACAGTCGATACATGCGAAGAAGAAATAATGATACTATGATATTGTAATCATGATATCGGTCAGAGTTATAATGTACAATATATTGAGAAGCACGCAAAAATGCTATAGCGATCATAATCTTTGCTGTGAGACATATATCGAATGTCCTGTCATTCTGTTACAGATGATGTGTTGCAAGTTTTCTGGAAGTGGCTGCCCACTTGATTTCCCTTTTCAACCCAAGTAATCAGGGTTCCAAGTAAAATTCCATCAAGCACCAGTCCTGCTAAAGTACGTATAGTCACAGAAATTAGACTCGATAGAGCAGTTTTTCGAGACGTCACTGCAGGGTCGTGTGCATGTCTGTTTTTTTCATGCCGAGGGACAACTGAGGAAATTAGTAATATTGACATTGAATTTATAAAGAATGACAACTACATTGCTCATTGGAGACAGCTAGGTACAAGTATCATCTGCTAGGTACAAGTATCATCTACTAAAGTATCACCACCATCCTCTTCCTCATTGTCCAGGTATGTCCAGGAAGCGTAGTGATTGGCGAGCATTCGATGGCGTGCGTCTTCCTCCAAGTTGTCCATGCAGGGCTCCAGGCTTCCATCTGCACTGAATTGAAGGGCAGAAAATTTAAACTGCCAAAATTTGTCAAAAGCTGCTTAATCCAGATCGAAATTCACTCACATGAGTTTTTTTTTTCCCTGCAATCGTCCACGACGGTAGTGGTAGTTACTGGCAGATGATTGATTGACTTCTTCAGAATGGTGTCCTCTCTTGTAGACATGATAGATCCGTATCTGGAACGACACCCATCGGAAACTGCTTCTTTCATTGTAATGCAAACGATCAGGATATGAACGAATGCGCAGCGGCTTTACCTGGGATTTCATGCCTTTGAAATATTTCAGATTCCACTGCAAATACAAGCTAATTCTAACGTGCAAATTTAATCCCTGTATCAAAAGGCTCTATATGTGGCACATTAGACTATGTCATGTGATCCAAAACGTAGCCATTACAGGTCTGCCACAACCATTGTCCATCTGTTCATATTACTGTCAACATTCGCTCGAGTTCCAGGACATATAGACTGGGACCTTTAAAACTTCTTTGCACAGTTTTCATTTCGATCATTACCAAGATGAAAGTTTGAGTTTTTGTACAGCTCGTGAAACTAATTGTCTCACTCTGACCGTTCAGTTGTTAATTACTTTCGGGTTAGGTTTTAATATCCAAACAGCCTTACTTCTAAATAACGCGTTGTCGGCAGATGTAGGCCCGACCAGGTTCTCACTTTCTCTGGCTACAGAAGACACTTCTTCACACCAGAACTCAAGATAGGAATCTCAAGCTGGGATTCTCCCTGTTCCCTCGCTATTACAAGGCGAATAATTTCAGAAGAACACTGATTACGTAATCGCGAGATCGTGGAATATTGCAACTCTTTTATATTATGCTTAATTTTCTTCTCGTGATGTTCCTATTCCTCGTAAAATGGTTAAAGACGTTCCATTGAAGCTGACCACTCTAGCAACGGGTGGACACAACTGGCAATACCCATGAGAATCGGTGTAAAATTTTCCTGTAAGCAATGTTTCTATCCTCCAGGGGAAATCTTACATCCTTGAAGAATGCCTGTATGTATGTTCCACGTCAAGATAAAGTTATGGTTTTGAAGGTTAAAATCGTTGATTTCATCTTCAATTTAAACACATATTTTTACAAGCAGAAGTCGCTAGAATATACATCGTATTTCTTTCTTCGCAAATACTGATAATTTGACTATCCACAGTCATGGAACCATCTGTGTATATTCAGTCATGATGAGTATAGCAAGCCACTATCATGAACTCTACGAAATCTTCACACAAAACAAAAACAAAAAGTTTCTATAGTGCTCTTGCAAACAAATTCAACACAGACCTGACTGTTTTACTGACCTCAGATCAGTGTATATGTTTGAATATTTTCTTTCTTCATAGAACTTCTTCGATAACGTAGATATTATCTATTAACTCTTGACATTTCTTTGCCCAGCAGCTTCGTGAACCTTTTGAGCTTATTGTAGGGACAGTCCTTGGTGATTCTTTTTCAATGCCATATCTACCAGCTTGTTTGCTAATCACTCTATAGCAGATGACTCATGATGAGGTGCTGAGTAGAGAACTCTTGGAGTTATAATCTACATTTCAAAAGTTTTTGAAATACCTGAAGTAGGTATATTTTTACACGCCACCTCACGTTGGTTCAACTGCTATTGATGAATGATGAATGAATGAAATAACAGATCTACAATCCATGGCCGCTTTGTTCTCTGCAAAGAACAGTAACTTGCTTGCCCAAAATTCCACCTAGATGATGTCCACCCACAATTGTTGGAGGGTCCTGATCGATCCCCTTCATATCGTTTGGTAGACTTTTCACGAAATTCTCTTGACACTAGAAAGTCATCAGATACAGCACACTGTCCATTCGACGAATCACCATCTTCTTCTTTCATTTGAAAATCTGTAAGAAGCATAGTTGCTACCCAGCATTTCTCAGTCTACCTTTTTTTCTATCATCCCTCGGTTGTAGGTTTGATAAATTCTATATTGCAAATCACAGTGCTTGGAGCTGTATTACTGAATACAGCTCTTACCTTGAAAGTCTTCATTTCTTTCTGCTCAGCTGACAACATGGAGATTGCTGCCCAGTTGAAGTTCAAGACAAATCTACCTCTTGTACAAATGGGTGTAGTATATTGTAGTTTAGTTCCAAATTAGCTTCGATATAAATATTGTTTTCTTCAGCGATTAAATGGTTGACCGTTATCTACGCAGTGAAATGAGCCATCTTCTTTGCAATCTCCACCTAGCTACGAAGAAATGTGTAAACCAAAGAATCATCAAGATGTGGAACACTTCGATCGAAGAATATTCAAACAGATTGGTCACACCTAGCTCCTTGCTATTGGACATATCTCCGGTCTCCGAGCTTGTTACTCACAATCCGACAATGTGTGCTCGTGATCGATGGTAATCGAACGTGCTAGGAGGTTTCTCTGGTAAACATTTCAATGATCAGGCAGTAAGCCACAAACGGAACGCGGAAGTAGGAAGAATTCTGCATTCGCAAGACCTTTCTTAGTATGTCAAGGATTGGTCTGAGCATGAGACAAAGCAAACGTTAAGCTTGCAGCAACTTTATTATGTGCAGATGATTCTTCTTACACATTGCGGAGAAGTACAACTACATCAAGCCTGTTAGACACTTGAACAAGTCTCAAATTTGTATTGTCATCCAGCTCTGATGGAAGGCGTGGATGGCCCTTCACATCTCTGATGTTTTATTCACACCAGCACAGGAGAGTGTGCTACAATCTCACTTCATTTCAACCTTACAGCATCTGAACATCAAATTAATCCTACATCGATCATATCTACTGTTACTATAAATATACACTACTCGGTGTAGTGTTGATATTGTCCAGCTGTCAAGATCATCATCTACTCTCGCAGTTTATTGTAGTTATCCTACCAGTGGCAGATCAGTATGTGGACATTGTCATGATATGGGTCTTATTGTCGACTTTTGGACTTGTGGACGTCTTCTTGAATGTCCTTATTGGCAGCAACACCAGGGCTTGAAGCCGCACAAAAAACCAGAATGGGGCTCGCAGCAGCATAGACGAATAAGACATCCTTTACGCCTTGGTTTCGAGTGATCTGCTCAAGACACCTCGCAGTTATCATTGTGGTAAAACATGCTTGACAAACAAAGCAAATCATAGAGTTTAACCTCCTTGTCTAGCTTTCAGGAAATCGAAAATAAAAAGCGCAGAGAAAACCATTACCCCATAGACCTTCTTCTTGTGGTAAAGCGTTGGAAAAACTGCCCATGGCAAACTGAAGAAGGAGGAGACATGCACAGAAGAGGACGAGCTTTCTCCACCCCATAACTTTTCTTCTTCGGTTGAATGAAGAACAGAGTTCGAACTGAGTAAATCAGCTTCCCAAGATGGACGATATGCCTTCACAAAGTAGCTCTCAATAACTTACAATCACACAAGGCCGAGAAATTTCTTCAATTTATGCTCACTGCAAGAGTTTTCTCCCTGCAAGAGTGTTCTGAGTGTTTATCTATGATCAGGATTGTGATGTTGGAAAATCATATCAGGCGATATTCGACTGATGGAAAATATAGTATACTCAAAATAGATTCATAGTGATTAATAGAGAGAAGGTAGATTGGAATAGCGAAACTCCTAATAATCACTAACATCAATTTCACGTCAGGTGATATTTGACTGATGAAAAAAGGTATCCAGATAAAATTGAGGTGACTTGTAAACAGGTGGTAGACTGGATTAGCAAAACTCCTAAAGAGTTACTGACATCAATATCGCATGAGGTAATATCTGACTAATGAGAAAAGGAAATTTAAATCAAATTTATGGTGACTTGCAGACAGGTTGTAGACTGGATTAGCAAAACTCCTAAACAGTTACTGAAATCAATATCACATGAGGTGATATTTGACTAATGAGAAAAGGAAATTGAAGATAAATTTATGGTGACTTGTAGACAGGTGGTAGACTGGATTAGCAAAACTCCTAAACAGTGTAATAACCCACCAAAGGCTAAAACTGCAGTATGGTGGTAAAAAGATCGAACCCACAGGGACAGAGGCAACACACAGAGTAAAAGTGTCACGTTTAACAGACTTTTGGTAGAGTTTGAATTCTAGGCGACTGTCACTCCCAGAAATACTGTAGTGCTCGACTCGGAGGCTCGACTCGGAGGAGGAACTCAACTCGGAGGATGCTCGGAGGATGCACGGTACAGCTTGGTCACTCAACACACACACACACACACCTGAAACTGGCAAAAAGCACAACTCGGAGGTCGGTCAGGACCTCCGCTTCGGATTTCAGGAGGAAAGTGTCTCGCAAGTTCACTCAGAGGTTCTGCAGGAAGTGCCTCCCACTCCGGCTTTTACTGCCCTTCCGCCAGGAACTAGCGGGGGTACCCGGACTGGACTTCTCACTTCGGAACGAAGCCTCTACGTACGCCGTGGACGTCACCCTCGACTATCACACAAAACGCAGGGAGTGCAGACCCGACTGAGAACTTACTGAAAACACGATCCAGTAACACACACACAACCTGAATTACAAACCAAGGTTTACACGAAGTAATGAAACTTCACATTGGCATTCAGGGGAAACTTCCCGTAGGAGTACAATCAGGATATGTCACTCGAAGGAGTAAGGGGGAACTGTTCAAGTCTCTAACTCGCAGCCGGCTCTGAGCATCAGAAATCACCCGCAGGTGCAGATCCGCACTACTCAAGTCTCTAACCGGGTGCGAGCTCTGAACATTCAGCCGAAGGCCTTCAACTACAACATACGGTAACTTCGCTATGCTGCAGCTTCTCTACGTGGTGCCAGGACCAAAATGCACAAACACGCCAAGAAAGTGAGTTCCTGATCTGCACTTCCGAAACTGGAAGAGTCAAAAGGCAAAACGCCTTGAACTACTTTATACCTTCTAAGGTCCTAACTAACACTACACTACCCGCTAGGGTGCGAGCCGCAACAGATCCTACACCTGAGAAGTCGGCGGCTACCTTCCCCTCTAACTTACAACCTAAATCTAACCCTAACCCTAAATCTAAATCCTAAGCCTACTGTACAGAGCCGCCAGCGTCTTTACATCCGAGATCTGAGGCTGAATATGTGCAGGCATGCGTGGCCGACCGAGATCAACGGTCCCACCAAATTTCAGATCCATCCGACCGTCCATCGCAAAGATATGGACTCCGCAAGATCTCTGAACCGCATCCGGTTTGCCGACCTTGAGTTCGCCGACTCCGAGTTTGCCGACTTGAAGTTCGCCGACCTCGAGTTCGCCGACTCCGAGTTCTCCGAAGGCGTTGACCGCCGAAGACGCACTTCCGCACCTTTGCCTATTTGTAACAGTCACTCCCGACACCCATAACTCACAAATCCTTGATCCGTTTCAAGAGTTCTTGGGCTCGTTGGAACGAGGGCGTCGAGCTCTTTCTAACGAGACCCTAACTGAGTCAAACCGTTGCGAGTTGAAAGAGTTATGCCGGTTTTATCCTTCGCCAAAGGCACACTCTCGAAGGCTTGTTATCTGTTATCGCCGAAGGCGCCCGCACGATGTTTCGCCGACTCCAAGTTTTCCGACCTCGAGTTCTCCGACTTGAAGTTTGCCGACCTCGAGTTTTCCGACTTGGAATTCGCCGACCTCAAGTTCTCCGACCTCGAGTTCGCCGACCTCAAGTTCTCCGACCTCGAGTTCGCCGTTTTGCCGACTCCGAGTTTGCTGACTTGAAGTTCTTTGACCTCGAGTTCGCCGACCTCAAGTTCTCCAACCTCGAGTTCTCCGACTTGAAGTTCTTTGACCTCGAGTTCGCCGACCTCAAGTTTGCCGACTCCGAGTTTGCTGACTTGAAGTTCTTTGACCTCGAGTTCGCCGACCTCAAGTTTGCCGACTCCGAGTTTGCTGACTTGAAGTTCTTTGACCTCGAGTTCGCCGACCTCAAGTTTTCCGACCTCGAGTTTGCCGACCTCAAGTTTTCCGACCTCGAGTTCTCCGACCTCAAGTTTGCCGACTTGAAGTTGACCCGTAGACGTCCGTCGCCGAAGGCGAACATCTAGGGCCGAAGGTGGATATTCTGCTGACGACGAACTCCTTCCGCCTATCCGTAGGCGTTCTCCTTCGCATCTTCCGACAGTCACAACTCCCTGAGTCCTCATCCGTTCCAGGCTTTCTTGGGCTCGTTAGAACGAGCGCGTCGAGCTCTTTCCAAAGAGACCCTAAGTAACTCAAGGCGTTAAGAATTGAGGAAGTTATGAGTGATCTACCGCCGAAGGTGCTCGAAGCGAGTCCTGCAGCGTGAACCGCCGGTTCCATTCCAAGCGTTCCACTGTGGCCTAAGCCCAAAAGCCCTCGACTGTCCTCGATCCTCTTTTTACTCTGGCTTTGCGTACCGATTACTATTTACAGCTGCTACCACGGTACTTACTAATCAAAAATGTTCTAATTCCGACGAAAAACAAAAAGTGGGTTACCACAAACAGTTACTGACATCAATATCAGAACAGGAGGGATTAGACTGATGATAAAGGATATTCAGAATAGTTTTTTATGGTGACTTGTAGACAGGTGGTAGACTGGGTTTAGCAAAACTCCTAAACCGTTACTGACATCAATATCAGAACAGGAGGGATTAGACTGATGATAAAGGATATTCAGAATAGTTTTTTATGATGACTTGTAGACAGGTGATAGACTAGAGTAGCAAAACTCTTAAAGACTTACTGACATCAATATCACATCAGGAGATATTTGACTGATGAAAAAAGGATATTCAGAATAGTTTTTAAAGTGACTTGTAGACAGGAGTAGCAACACTCCAAAAGAGTCACTGACATCAATATCACATCAGGAGATATTTGACTGATGAAAAAAGGATATTCAGAATAGTTTTTAAAGTGACTTGTAGACAGGAGTAGCAACACTCCAAAAGAGTCACTGACATCAATATCACATCAGGAGATATTTGACTGATGAAAAAAGGATATTCAAAATAGTTTTTAAAGTGACTTGTAGACAGGAGTAGCAAGACTCCAAAAGAGTCACTGACATCAATATCACATCAGGAGATATTTGACTGATGAAAAAAGGATATTCAAAATAGTTTTTAATGTGACTTGTAGACAGGTTGTAGACTGGAGTAGCAAAACTCCTCAAGAGTAACTGACATCAATATCACATCAGGATATATTTGACTGATGAAAATAACGATAGTCAGATTAAGTACATCATCAAAATGGTTAAAGACGTTTCATTGAGGCTGATTACCCATCAACGGGTAGACGCATTTGGCAGTACTCATGAGAATCAGTGTAATTAATATTTTGTACCAGATGTTTCCATCCTTCCGGGGAATTCGTTTCAATCCCTGAGGAATGCCTGTATGTTTCACGTCAAAATAAAGTTATGGTTTGGTTTGGAAGGTTAAAATCGTTCATTTCCTCTTTGATTTGAACACATAGTTTTGCAAACAGAATTAGTTAGAATATATTATCTTGAATCTTTCTTCACAAATAATGATATTTTGACTATCCACGGTCATGGAAACCATCGGTGTAAATCCAGTCATGGAGAGTACATCAAGCCAACATCATGAAACTCTACTAAATCGACACACAAAACAAAACAAGAAGTTCAAATAGAGCCCGTGCAAACCAATTTAACCCAGACCTGACTGTTTTTGCGACCTCAGGTCAGTGCATCTGTTTGAATTTTTGCTTTCTTAATAGTACTTGTTCGATAACGTAGAAATTTTCAATTCATCTTGACATTTATTTGCCCAGCAGCTTCGTGAACCGAAGCATATCGTTGGGTACAGTCCTTGGTGATTCTTTTTCAGTGCCATGTCTGCCAATTTGTTTGCTAATCACTTGATAGCAGATGACTCTCGATGATGTGCTGACATCAATATCACAACAGGAGAGACTTGTCTGATGAAAAAAGGATATTCAGAATAATTTTTATGGTGACTTGTAAACAGGTGGTAGACTGGATAAGCAAAACTCTCAAAGAGTTACTAACATCAATATCACAACAGGAGGGATTTGACTGATGAAAAAAGGATAGTCAGAATAATTTTTGTGGTGACTTGTAGACAGGTCGTAGACTGGAGTGGCAAAACTCCTCAAGAGTTGTTGACATCAATATCACATCAGGAGGTATTTAACTCATGGAAAAATGATATTCAGATTAAATTTATGGTGACTTGTAGACAGGTAGTAGACTGGATTAGGAAAACAGCGATTTTAACCTTTGCTGTGAGACTTATATCTAATTTCCTGTCATTATTTTACATGTTTTGTGTTACAAGTTGTCTGAGAGTGGCTGCCCACTTGATATCCCATTTCAACCCAAGTAATATGTGAAACAAGAAAAATTCCATCAAGAATCCACCTGCTAAACAACTTTTAGTCACAGAAATTATACTCGATAAAACCGTTTTTCGATACGTCACTGCAAGACCGTA